TGTGTGTGTGTGTGTGTGTGTGTGTGTGTGTGTGTGTGTGTGTGTGTGCCAGTGTGTGTGTGTGAGAGATAGAGATAGAGATAGAGAGCAGAAAGTGAGTGCTTATGAACATACTGGTGTGCATGCCTCTGTTGGTGACTGACCGTGTATGTACAGTATGCTAATGCTGTTACAGCCCAGGCTCAGTGGGCTGTAACAAATAAGGAGACCACATGGTTTATAGTCATTTCAATATTTTTAATTTAACTAAGACTAAATTAATACAGTAAATAAACCTGTAGTATGAAAGTAAGACTTTGTAAATTTGTATGGACATCAAATCCTTCATTTGTTATTCTACACATATCCTGAAATGTCAATGCGGGCAAGTCTATGTTGGTCAAATTAAACAAAGAATAGCTGAGCACAAGATTGCCACATGGATCAAAAATCTGGACTATGCATTCAAATGTAACTATATTCAATGTAATTATGGCTCTCCTGCTACTCTTAAACTTTGGGGGATCGAAAGAATTACACCATCCCCCAGAGGTGGAGATATTATCAACATATTGCTATGTAGAGAAGCTTTCTGGGTCACTGAACTCAACAAAGTTGAGGACATCATGAAGAGCAATGTCTGACTTGTTTTTTATAGGCTTCTGTCAAGCTTTGCTCATCACTTATTCATATTGCTTGATACAGGCTATTTACTGCTGCTGCTGATTTAATGGGATGTTTTTGAAAGGTCTATGGATGTGATCTAATATATCTCTGATATATGTACTTTTTATTAATTAAGAATCTATTTGTAGCCCACTCTCCTAGTTTATGTGTAGTAGATCCTTATTAGGGGAGTGGTTTTTAGATATTGTACGGGCTTTTATGAGGTTAAGAGAATGTGACTTTTGGATTTGTTTGACTCTGATGAAGACGCACTCATAACAAATTACGTCCGCTGTCTTTTACCAGACGCTTTTCTTTGACCTGGATGGAAAGCGCCCTGAGGTCAAGAAAGATGTGAGAGAGAATTCATGAGGACTAACGGAAAGGCAGCCACGGTGTTAGAATCCGACTGCACTTACACTAGGCTACAGAGTTAGTTTTTGTTTTAAAGCAACTTCATTTATAGGACATGAGTACAGTGACAAACTCAATGCTGCACAATTCAAGTAAGTCCAAGAACAGAAATCATACCAGCTAAGAATTATTGAGTTAAACAGTAACTGCGGATGTTATTGACATCCGAATGGTGTGTCTCTTTACTCTAAATGTTGCTGCTGCAAGGAATTGGGGGACAACATTATCTCCTTTGCCTTCATAAAGGATGGTCCAGTGTACCCTATGCTGAAGGAGATAAGAAAGGAAGCATTGAAGACAGTTTGACCAGCTGTTATCATGGCTGCCACTTAATAATTCATGGTCATTTTACTCAGCTGGGAACCTCCTTAAGCAAAAGCTTGTGTGTGAGTAAACTGTGTGTGTGCGTGCGTGTGTGCGTTTGTGGTGAGAGGTTAACCTATTGGCCTGGGTGGTGATGGGGCATCTGTCTCAAGGGTTTGGCAGCTTTGCATAAACAAATGAAGTAAATGGTATCATGACTAAATTACCGTAGTGTTAGGGCTGGATTTTTTTTGGGGGGGATATTTTTCAGCTTTTGCCTGAATCATCGCCACACATCTCTATTGATTTGCGACACACACTTGCATCTTTCCCTTCTCTATCTCTTCCTGTCTCTCCTCCCTGAAATGGTTGTACACTCGGTCTCCAACGCACACTTCCCTCAACCAAATCCTCCCGTATGCTACATCTATCTCTCGCTATCGTGTTGTAGCTTTATTACTCCTCCTCCATCCCTCCTTAACCTTCACTCCATCACTTCTTCCTCACTTGTCGAGGGTCGTGAATTTGTCACACTTTTTGACACACCGAGAGCCTGAGCTGGTTGGAGAGGAGAGGAGGGACAGCCCCGGCTTGAATATTTCAAAAGGCAGTGATCCTCAACATGACCCTATCATCTGTCCTCAGACTCTGATCCTCCATTTCCCCCTGTCAGGCGTTCTTAGTCAGGGGCCTCAATGGCTCTTATTCCCACTGTCTCTCATGAGGATAAGAGATAGCTCACTACCAGAGGTCTTGAAATTCCCTCTGAGTACAGATTTTAAATCAACGCACAGGTAGATAAGGAAACATGGCGTTTGTCATTCTGTCAGAAGATGAGAGGTTCAATGATACATATAAGGTGAGCTTTTGATACATAAAAGGTTAAGATGTTTTGGATCTTAGAGATAAATGATAGGATTTACTATCTCCAACAACCCTCATGTAAGAATTAATTTCCTGCTTTTCTATCATCTTCTGACAGGAATTTGAACTAGCATCACCCTCACTGCTGTCAGTTTACCTCCAGGCAATAGTCTTCTCACAGCTTTTCAATTTAAATACCTCACAAGAATATCATTGAACTGTACTACCAATGTGTTTAAATGAAACAGCCTTTCTATTGATGTTAGAACTTCACAGATCTGACATGAAACAAAATAAAAATCATGAACTCGATTAAAGACAAACTAATGTGAGCCGAATATAAAATAACTCTAAATTAATTCAATCACATTTACAAACACTTCTGTAAAGACGGGTCAGCATGCGTTGATAAATGATCTCTGGATTTCAGCATTATAAAAGAGTTATACTGCAAATGAGTTCCAGCAATCACCACTTTGATATTTGAATTTTCATACCAGCATGAGGCTCTGCTCCAAAGAGGACACGTTATCAAAAAAAACTCTTAATCTATTTAGCGTGTCAATAATTAGACACATGTATTCCAATACTGTGCTTAAGTACAGCAACAGGTATTTTACTTAAGTCACTAGCCTTATTCTTACATTATTTTGTCACGAGTATATAATGTTAGGAAACTAAAAGTTGTCTCACGTCCAGTTAACAAATCTCACTGATTTTTCAAGATATTTAAAGTGACTAATCCAACAAAAAGGTGTGAAATGTCTTCGCACAGACTGAGCGACAGGTTGAGTATTACAAGCCATGAATATTCCCTGTGGGGATAGAGTGCTAGGATAGTATTCAAGCATCTCAAAGGAAGAGTGCGGATATTTAATCCCTCCTACTGTTTAGATCCTAACAAAGGACGTGGTCAAGGCAAACATGGTTATTGATCCTCGCACAGCACTAAGACGTGAGAGATATACAAATCCTGATTGTGTATACAGCACATGAAAATGTACTGGTCTGAAATTGTTACTCACAGCCTGTCTAATATTTTCAACATTTACTGATGCTTTGATGCCAGAAGTGGAGATCAAATGAGGTGATTCACAGAGAGCAGAGGGGAGCACAGTGCCCTGTGATGCCGCATAAGCTGATGTTATCTGTCATTTTCCTTGTCAAGGACAATGCTGCTGAGGAGTTCAATGGGCCTATGACAGTGATAACAGGGAGACGCAGAGACAGATTTGTGCATGCACACCAGAAGAAAATGCAGGTTCTTTGTAGTGCGTACAGAAAATGAATCAGAATAACTCATCCATCCCCTCAAGAAGAGTGAAGGCCCAGGCTTGTCCGACAAGGTCATGCTTCCCTTAATATTACACCTGAGGGACTCATTATTGTGTCTAAAAGAGAAAACACTAAATCCTGAAATAGCTGCGTTTGTACAGAACACCACAGAGACAGTGGTGTTTTCAGTCTGGGATGTACAGTACATAAGTTTACAATCCCTTGACTGTATCTAGGAGACACTTAAGTCGGTGTATATTGAAGTATAAAAACAGAGATGATGACAGATCCGGTTGCCTTTATTCATTATTTCCTTACACATAAGTTGGAGATTCTTATCATTGAAATCTGCTCTTGCTTGTTTGCTGTTAATGTTTTTTATCTGTTAGCTTGTTTCTATGATTCCCTACCCCGATGCACTTTAGGTTTCCTTGAGGTGAAATAAACTGATAATTAAAACAACAGGAAGACAATTTCCTGTCCATATTAAGCTTTATCTGAAATCTACAAATTAAGAATCTTAAAAGATAATTTAACTGAGTGCCTTAAAATTTAATGTCAGGGATATTTTGTTAAATTGCTAATGGGCTAGATTGTGCACTTTATAGCTGGACCATTCTTCTCTGTGTCCAGTAAGTGCTTAAATCAGATTTACTTGTTCACTCAAAGTAACCTCTGTGACATTTTCACGAAATACGGATCATTGGGGCTACATTTTGAAAAGCCTTCCGGCTGCCACGTGAGATATTTAACATGACTCGCTGGAAAACCAAGCAAGAAACTTCAAAACGGGTGTAACCATTAAGCCAATGGTTGGGCTCGAGGGATAGGAAAGTTGGTCTGTCGGTTGGTCCACCGTTTTGATCCAGACGGAAATATCTCAACATCTACTGGATGGATTGCCATCCAGGATGACATTTTTGCACAGACAGTCATGGTTCCCAGTAACCTAATAAAGACTGTTGTTGATTTTTAAAACTATTTCTTGCTGCAGATAAAACTGTAACACCAGTCTAGAAAGTGAAAGAAAAAGGGTGCGTTCATCCAGTAGCCAGTTTGGACAGTTAAAGTACACATATTTATTCTAATGTCTTCGTATGTGTGTGTGTGTTTTTTAACAGAGGGCCGGGAGGTGAAGGTGGGAGAGTACAATGCAATTGCTGATGTCCTGGACCTCATCAACAACTCCATAAGGTTCCAAGGTATGAAGAACACTAGATATGAGTGTTTGTGCATGCATTTGTGTGTGACTGTGTGAGCGTGGCCTCAGGGATGTAAAACTCACCCAAGAAGAAAAAGGTGTCCTGATGCATCTGATGTGTGTTTATATATATATGTTAAAAGCCAATCACTTACCTGCTCCGCACTTCCCTAAGTCGTTGCTCACTTGAACCCAAACTCTTTCCAAAACAAACACACACTCAGAGACATACTCAGACACTACCACCACTCCGTATAGGGACTCGCCGCTCTCCGTTACCGCTCTAAACTGTCCTCCATCAGCTAAATTATTTACCAGTCCATTTTTCACTCCTCCCACGTGGTTGGCCTGTGTTGGCATATTTAATAATTTGTTTAATTCCCCTGGCTATTCCCCCCTTCACCACCCTCACACTTTCCCTCCATCTTGTCGGCCTTGCCCCACATAAAGAAACTGTTGGACAGTACCATCTAAGATGCTTGTCTCCACATCCCTGACCACAGTAAGTGGAGATGTGTAAGATGATGCCAGTGCAATCGATTGGCACACTGGTGGGAGAAAAATAGAGCAAAAGATAAGAAAGTGCAGTGTCTAACCACAATAACTTGACTGTGGTGCATTGAGATACATCCACTCGACTAGGGGTAACGGAGGACCAGGAAATTGGTTTCAAATCACTGCAGTGTCACTATTTTGTGGTTGAACGAATCAAGATTTGAAGGAAGCAGGTCTTAAATTGTGAAGAGAGAAACCTCTCTGGAGAAGTTTACAGAAATCCACTGTTTTCTATATTTCCACCCTTAAACAAAGACTTTTGGCATCTTCTTCATAGGTGTAGAGCCTCCCAAGGATCGTACGTTTGTGCGTCTGCAGCGGCGCCACATCAACGTACCCCTATACAGCATCCTGTCCACCATCACTATACTAGGCATGCTCATGGCAGGGGCCTTCCTGTTCTTCAACATCAAGAACCGCAACCACAGGTCAGCATTCAGCATTGGTGAAGCCCAGCTTTGAGAGTAGGAGGATGGAGGGAGGGGTCATATGAAATAGATAAACGTATGGTGCAGCGGGAAAGTAAATAAGGGATTGGTGTTAAGGGAGAAGGAAGAAGGGGATGATTAAAAGAAGAGAAGAACCACAGGAAATATTGAAGTAAAAGAATGATGAAGCATTAGAATGATGATTAACCTTTAACTGTCTACAGGTACATTACTATTTCACATTTCACTCTCCTCAATACCTAAATATCCTACTGAAGTATTACTGGTGAATAGCATCTATTCTATTTTAATATATTATATTGTAATCTAACCATCTGTTCTCTTCCAGACTGATCAAGATGTCCAGTCCCTACATGAACAACCTGATCATCCTAGGAGGCATGCTCTCCTACGCCTCTATCTTCCTGTTCGGCCTGGATGGAGGTTTCGTCTCTGACAAAGAGTTTGAGACCCTCTGCACTGTGAGTTTCCTCAACACTTCTCAGTAATACATAAAATAATGAATAGAAGTTGGGGTTGGCTCCCAGTCTTATTCAATCGAACCTTGCCCAGTGGCAAACAAAATAGTTCTGTACATGAGCTAAAATATGGAGAATACTGCTGAAACACTAATCACATGCACTGTGTGACCGACCATAAGTGAAAAGGGATTGGATCTCTCTCTGGTTCTCTAGCTAGCATGGAGCACATTAAGTGTCTCCCCCCAGGTAGCATTACTGTGTGACTATGTAGATGCTGGATTAATTAAAGAGTTTTGATTACAGTGATAACCAGTTTCCACTGAGATACCCTCTTCCAGACACAGAGACACACACACACACACACACATGCACACCAGCGTAAAGTTAGGCAGGGCACGTCTCGAGCTGCCACCACCTGGCTGAAGCTTTGCTGCAGAGCCAAAACAGAGCGCGTCACTTCAGACAAGCTTCTTCAGCAAAGGACCACAGAGGTTGATCCATTCGCCACCAATCAATATGTGCTGGTCTCCTTGAGAATGTATAGTGTAATTGTTTTTTTGCTGTCTCCTTTACACAGTGCTCTGTCCCTGCCTGGCTTTATTCCTCTCTCTAGATATGTTAGTGAATGGCAGGTGAAGAGAGCCATGCGTAACTGTGTGAAGGGTTTGCAGTATTTGCGGCGCAGAAAGGGCTCACACACATGCATATAAAAAGCAAACTTGTACACATGCAGCATTCAAACATATACAGTATACAGAAGCACTCTGTAGCTATTCATAGTCTTTATTCAAATTCTAATATTTGAAAACACGTCAGCAGTGTCCTCTGTGCCAAAGCACTAAGAGGTCTACGTTTTGTTTCTCATTAAGATGAAATGCTCTTAGGAGTGTGACAGCTTCCATGGTCCTGGACGTTCTCCCAGAGCACCACACTTAGAGAAGAAAAATTAATCTGACAGCTTCTTATTTTTAGAAGTCTTCACAAGGCTATTTTAAATGAAGATCTTGAGAAAAATGCAAATACCTGTCAGATCAGATGTTGTTTTAGGCCTTGATCACCAGTTTAAGACGTGACACAATTATGTTTTTCCCTGTTGTTCTGATAGGTTCGGACATGGATCCTCATTGTTGGATACACAACAGCTTTTGGCGCCATGTTTGCCAAGACCTGGAGAGTGCACGCCATCTTCAAGAATGTAAAGATGAAGAAGAAGGTATTGAAAAATATTATATATATTATGAAATGTACACGAGAGCGATTAAAAGCTAATTCAAAGTAGTACTATTTATAGCAGAAGTTAATAATTAGATTGTTCATATTATGACACACATGGCTCAAATACTAGTACTTGTACTTTGTATGCCTCCTTGACGAATGCACTTTGATTTTTTTTATCAAAAAAAAACATTTTTATGCTTCCACTCAGCGACAGTTGAGAGGCGTTATGTTTGTTGGGTTGTCCGTCTGTCCGTCTGTCCATCCGTACGTACCCATTCTCGTAATCGTGATATCTCAGGAACGCCTTTCGGGAATTTCTTCATATTTGGCAGAAACGTCCAGTTGGACTCAAGGAGGAACTAATTCGATTTTGGTGGTCAAAGGTCAACGATCAAGGTCACTGAACGCGTTATCTCAGGAATGCCATAAAGGAATTTCTTGAAGTTTTGCAAAAATGGCCACCTGGTCTCAAGGATGAAATGATTCGATTTTGCCGCTCAATGTGACGCCTCAAAAAATGTGTATAATCTATTCTGGTTGAATCTGGTTCTGAACCTTTTTTTTTCTTATCACACCATTTACATCTGTTGGATAAGATAAACATTCACACAACCACAAACATCTCCATAAAACATGTAGACCTGACAATCTTCTTTAGGAAGCTTATCATTGCCCACTGTGTGAGGGGGCTTGTATTCACACTCGTACTTTTTAACAAAGATTGGCAGCCCCTGGCACCTGCTTTTAGAATCTTCTCTGTGAAAAAAAGGATTCAGAAATAAAAATGGCTTTTTAAACATCTGACACAATCTGTTTCACTGGCCTAGTTATATAAAGTGGTGCCGAGCTCACTGAGTGTTGGCCTTTTTGTATTTATAGATTTTGCTCTCCCCTCTCTTTGTCTCTCTTTCTCTCTCACCCTCTTGCATATTGGAGGAAGTGTGGGTGGCCTGCCAGAGAGAGAGCAGGAAGAGAGGGAGGAAAGAGGGATGGATCAAAGAGTCGGAGAGGTTGGAGGGATTGGCAGAAGGGAGGGTGGAGAGACAGACGGAGGAAGGCAAAGCAGGGCAGAACAAGGGACAAGACAAACAACATGGCACAAAATGGCAAAGAAAGTAGGTTGGACAAAGTGAAAAGAAAAAGGGGAAAGCTGCAAAAAGAGGGCAAAGGATATATGAAGACACAGATAGTCCAGATTACAGGTTACAAGATAAGGAGTCATGACCGAGCTCTGCTTTATCTGTTTCCACTGCAACTCTGCGATGGGGTCAGGGAAATGATCAACACCCCTTTTTTTCAGCTTTTTCCAACTGAATGACACTTGACCTGCATGGCCTCATTTTTTTTTTTATTCATTGTCTTATTGAAAGTCAAAGAAAACAAAACAATTTTGCCTCTCTGAGCTCTCTAGCTTTGCCCTGACCCTTCATTCCCAAATATCTTGGCTCACTTCCCCCTCTCCCACCCTCTTCCCCTGGCTAACAGAGACAAAACCAATGTTTCTTCACAAGCGGCATTTACCCCGACTGCATATTTTGGCCCTTAAACCTCAAGATGTATTATCTGTTGGTTCATGGCCTGGGTCTGTTTGCAGGACACACAGACGCATCACACTTCCTCCACACTGATTAAGTGCAGGTGCTTTGGCTTCAGAAGAGCGATAGTTGCTGTTGTTGCCCTGAAATCTCTGTCAACCGCTGTCAGGGGAGGGACGACCACAAGTGTTAACCATCTTAACAGTTAACAGTGGGGCTGGAACTGCATCCCTCAGTCCTTCTCCCAGACTACCCTCCACCTTTTTTCGAGGAGTGCACAGATTGTAAATCAGGGGTGTGTTCGATAAGGGTTCCTCTCGGCGGGCTACGGCCGGCACTCCTTCACTTCTTAAAGAGCTCAGTGCCAGAGACGCTGTGGGGGGGGGGGGGGGGCTGTCAATCAACGTCCTCCTTTTCTATATACACACACCACAGACACAGATAAACATACACACTTTCAAAACACAACCCTTTACTCCAAGGCCCCTGTAGCAGCTATTTGTCAGTCTGCCTATCTTGATGAGTACTCCTTTGTGATATATTGCTGGATGTGCACACACACACACACACACACACACACACACACACACACACACACACACACACACACACACACACACACAGAAATAGGGCAAAGCTAAACAAACACACTGTACCCATTAACTCATTACACGTGCCTGCATACATAGACACATATGTACACACGTTCACTTCAGTTGAGTTGAAAATAACATGTCACCCCACTTCCTGGATCTTGTTTATAAGTAGTAGCATACTGTTGTTACAGCGCCCTACACATTTTAACTTGAATTATGTTACAGTATCCCAGCAGACATAGCTAGCCCATGGCCTTGTTGGTTTACACTACACAGTAAATGGATTTTTGTTTTTATGCAACCAAGTTTAAAAAAATAAAATACATGTATTTGAGCGTGAAAGTTCATTATTGCCCTTGAAAACAATACTCATAACTCAGGGAGAACTTAAGTTTTTCAGAGCTTTGAACCACATCCCACGGGCAGTGGGTGGGCTTTGCTTAGTTGTCGAGAATAAAAAGAAAAAAATTATATTTCAGGATCAAGTTGCACATTCAATGTTTTAAATGATTCTGTTTATTTCTGAATCAAATCTATTAGTAGACACATTAGTAGATATGTATTGAGTGCCAGTATTACATAACACTTCAGGTAATTTAGAGTCATTACATAGTTTGTCTAGCAGACGCAGTTGGCAGAGTAACATATCACAGTTGAGCAGATGGTGGAGCTTTTTCTTTTGTAAATTTCCCTAAAATATCTGAAATTGTCACAACTATTTACTTGTTGGAATGATAGAATGTTAGTTTTTTCAGCCAGATTTGACCAAAATGTACAGGTATTTTTATTGTCGTCAAATATTTTTTCATTGGCTTTGAAGCAGACATTTGTCCAACTCTGCTTATATCTTCCGCTAAGCTGCCCTGAAGCATTGCAGTATTCCTACAAGAAATGTCCATTGTCTTATTTGTTCAATGACAACACCATCAAAAGACACCAGATCAAAAAACAACCCCCTCATGCCCCACCGGCGGATGGAGACCTACGTGAGACCACTGTGCTGCATCTGGGCTACATGATACTCTCCAAACACAGCCCAGCCTGTGTTCCCTGACCTTTCCTTTGATCTGCTGTTCCAGAGAGTCAAACACTATTATAAATAAAGATCACAAACAGGTCACGGCTTTCATCCCTCTAAAGTTCATGGTTAAAAAGAGGGGCTTTGGTGGTCAACAGCATTGGCTCTTGTTTGGTGGATCTTTTCCACATTCTCTGGCCAAAAGGTAACAAATCCTGGCTTTCCGGTGGCAGAGTATTGATGGACTGAATGTCCCCCACTGGTTCTCAGTCCTGGGCCATTGGAGTGCAACCTGCTAAATATATACTACATGTGTCAGTATCAAATTGTGCACTAGGTCTTGATCTTTTGGACTTTTGGACAGTTTGGCGGGTTTCCTATCCTAGTAGGTGGTTAATTGCAGCTAAATGCATTGTAATCAGTCCCTGATTAGATGTTTGAATGAAACCAGCAGGGCTCCAGGTCCTGAGATGGGATGAGAATCACATAATTACAGTGGTCAAAAAGAAATGTTTAAAATGGCTCCACAGACAACAAATATAATTACACAACTATTCGGCTAATACAAGCATCTTATGTTGTTTTCGCCCCCTTCAGATCATAAAGGACCAGAAGTTGTTGATCATCGTTGGCGGGATGCTGCTAATCGACTTATGCATCCTCATTTGCTGGCAGATTGTGGACCCGCTTAAGAGGACGGTGGAAGAGTACAGCTTGGAGGTCAGTGTTCATTTCAATGTCTTTTCACATGTCGTCTAAACTTTCGCTTGATTGTGTTTTTTTTTATGTTGATGTAACATGATTTGCCCCAGCTGGGAGAATCCCAGTGACACAGATTCTTGCTTAAAATGCCTCTGTATTTGGAGTTCAGGCAAAGAAAATGTCCGCCTTGGGCTGTATCGTGAGCATCTTTGTTGTGCTTGTTATTTTTGGGTCAGGATGTGAGCCATTGCTGCCTCCTGCGCTCATCCCATGGCCGGACATTTGCCAGCTTGGATGTGAGACTTTGGCAAGGTCTGTTGGAAAAGAGACACTTGGCATCACATTCTCCTTGCTGGAGAGGTGGCGTGGTGTAGAGTAGAAATGAACTCTGCTTTGTTGCGATTGGTTAGAGTCAGATTCTCTGAGACTGGTACAGGATTAGTCTAGCTGTGCACCCAATTGTCTAAAATGAACATATTGTAGCTTTGGCGTCAAAGGTTGACGGTGTTTAAAATGTGTTTTTCGGCATGACATATTAGCACATAACTATCAGTGGTATTAAGGGAATGCAGACTGTGAATTAGGAAGGCACAACTGCATATTTATTTTCTCAGAGGATTTATTAGCTTTGGTTGTGCAGATTTCTGCTGAATTGAATACATAGTATGGCCTCACTGTTTGGTACGTCTGTACGGGTTAACACTTAGGCCTTGGGTTAAATGCTTGAGTCAGGAAGATTTTGAGCTGAATATATTAAAGTAGCTTTGAGTCTCGTGTTTTTTTGTTTTTGAGAATATCCCCTCATGCTGTTAAGCAGATGGATCACTGTGCCACTGGTTAAGCATAAGAGGCTGCAGGACACGTTCGTTCGTCAATCTATTAAGTTGTCAGACAAAAAGATGGACTCGCATTAGGCAGAGGGCAACTAATGTAGTGTAATGATAAAATGGGTTATAGAGCTGGTGCAGTGAGGGATACTGTACTATTAGGGTGGGAACTCTATCTGTGTGTGACACTGATCTGTAACTGCAGCTGTGGGTTCAATAACTGTGAATTTATCAAGGTATGTCTTCAAAAGAAGACGACAATAATGTGTTATCTGATGGCGCGTTAAAACCTCTGGTAGGTTTTGCTTTCTTACCTGTTTATCGGATATGTCCATGTCATAGGTTATATCGAAGTAATAATAGCATTATTGAAAAATCTATTTTACATTGCTATGTATTATTCACTTTATGGGCTGACAAGTAACTCAGTTGAACAGGAGAGATTATGTTTACTTTACTGCTGCTGCTAACAACTGACAAGTAGGAGCAATTATTCCACTGCAGCTGAAATTAAATCGTTTGTCTTCGAAGACCACACACTATGAATATGGCCAAGTGGAGATTTTCCCAAATGAGTTGTCTTTCAAGTCCCCCTATACTTCTGAATGTAGGCCGCAAGACTGCTAACTGGCTCCCAAGAGACCAGAATCCTCAGAAATCAACAGCATTGGTTGGATCCCCATTGACCCATCTACTAAACAGAGGTTATCAGAAGATCACTGCAGTGGAAGGCTAATGGTGGATTTTTTATGGAGACTTCTTTTGATGGTTTTGAATGGATTTTCATGTTGTTTGCTTGATTGTTGCCAAGGGTCCCGTGGGGGATCGAAGGCCAGCTGACACTGTCTGGCACCAAGTTTTGACTTTTTTGTGTCTTCAATTAAATGAAAAACCTGTGAAGTGATAAATAGTGCTTATCTAAGAGAAGTATGAGTTGGTCCGCTTTTCTGAGGTTGTGTTTTTCTGTCTTAGACCTTGATGGAAAGATTCCTGTGGGAGATCGCTGAGGAAGAAACTAGTGGAGGGATGAATGATATCTTGCCAGACTTATTTACATTCTTGTGCTCCTTAGATCGTACTCTGAAGGTATACTTAGCACATTTGTACAACTCTAGACAAAGCCATATTTCCTTTGTGATGATAGCCACTTATATATTTAAGCCTGCCTAAAGGGTGTAGCAAAGCCTTGCTTAACATATTCATTTGTGAATGTTGTCAGTGTATGCAGTCGGGTCCTCGTGGAGTATTCTCAGACTCTAAGCCCCCGGCCAGGGGAGAGTTGTGAATATATTAAGCACTCAGTGTAGGAGTGTGCATCCCCCCTGGGGTTATGCATCTGCATGCCTGGGCTGGGGCAGAGACTCCACATGCCTGCCTGGCCTGCCAGATTTTCAGCACCAGCAGCAGTGGACCCTTGAGGCTCAGCTGTGGGAGAGGCAGCCTGGAGCTCCTCTGGGCCTCCAGGTTTGTCAGGTGGGACCAGAAACCAGATGGCAACCCAAATACCCAGAAGTGGGGTAAGGAGGGAAGTGGGGCAAGGGAAAGTGAAAACACATCATGGATAAACAAAATGTTTATGGTAATAAACAATTTGGGGCATTTTACAGAAAAATAATAATAAACATATTGCACTATTACCAGAGACAGAGGAGAGATAGGCCTCGTTCAGACGGATATTATCAAATAACACAACCTCCTCATCAGTGTCAACGAGGCTGCTCCGGCAGGGGCAACACATTGGTCAAACTGGACTTACTGAATCATATTTCATTTTCTCTCCTCTACCTGTGGCAACATGCCCCCACCAACAAATCCCCTTGTGTTTTTTAGCACTGTGCTATTTCGGGTCTGAACACAATGGAGATGATTATTTGAGGAATGGGACCATGGTGGATGGTCTCCATAGAGCTCATGAGCCGGTGAGACTAGCTCTGACTGACTAACAGTAATTGGCGCAAGTAGAAGGACCATTAGTTACTCAGTTTCCTG